AGAAAGAGTAGAAAAGGGAGTTGGCTGTACTTGGATGAATCATGATCTTGAGGTTGGAAAGATAACCTTTATTCTTCATCTGCTTGATTGTGGTCCCAACTAACTTAGTGACCCCTGGATGCCTCCTTCTGTAGGTAGGCATTTAAGCTCTGGCTGGAGTTTGTTAAGGAGGAGAGGATATCCCTATATAATCTAGCTGTCGTCAGCATTCAGCCAACTCTGGTTATTATAAACTAGGCCAATTCTTTTTCAGCAATTTTTACCCAGTGACTCAATGGAATGCTCCAAAGCAAAGTTATGCCTCTTTTAAAACACAAAACTTCAAACCAATCTGAAAATAGCTTACTCAGAGTTCCATATTGTCTTCTCCAGAGTCTTCTAAAAGAATCTATTTTCATATAAGGTATGGATGGGGGTTGCCAGATTTGGAAAATAAAATACAGAATGATAGGTTGAATTTGAGTTTCAGGTAATTGAGGAATACTCTTTTAGTATAAATGTGCTCCATGTAATATTTGAGACATACTTAATACTAAAAAAATATTCCTTGTTTATCTGAAATTTAAATCTTACTGGGCATCCTGTTTTTTAGCTAGCAACTCTACTCTGGATGTGTTGTCGTCGGTAAATATTTTTTTTAAATGTAGTGTCTAAAACTTACTTTCCAGTACAGCCCAGAAATATAGCTCATGTGGAGTGGGAAGGCTGGTGGGGAAATGGTTAAGGAAAGGAAGGAGCACACGCCCACTCTTCCCACCCCTCTACTCTGCCCACCCCAAGTTTTCCTGTAAAAGCTGATAAAGACCTTCCTGAGGGGACAAAGCCCCCTTCCTCACAGGCAGGCACCTGTGAGCACCACATTTGGCAGCCAGGCCTTCAGTAGAGAATCTGTTCCAACATCCAGCAGGGGCCACCAGTTATTTCTAACCTCTGTAAGTGGCAGCACTTTCTTTTTACCCTTGATTCTGCTGCCTCTACGCATTGTAGGAGATACTTTCCACCCCTGAGGATAGCATATTTGTGCCCTACTCCGCCTAATGGCTTATGCCTCTCTTATCTGCTTACCTTCTGTTCCATTTCCTTTGCTCTTCTGGTATCAATCTTCTCCCATCCTCTGCAGAATCCCAGGTCTTTTGACACATTAAATAAGACGAGAAGCCCCTCCAGGGCTAGGGCCATGGATTAATAATACAGCCTTACTCTCATAGTGGGCTTCTATTGCGAAAGCCTCCTCTTATCCTATTTCTTCATTTTTCCTCATGCTCTTCCACCCTGAAGTCCCTGGAGGAGTAAGGCTATGTGGGTGGGTGTTCGCCATGGGGGTGGTGCTTGGGAGACATTTTTGGCTTGGAGGAGGTGGGTGGTTCTATGTCACCAAAGAGCATTTTCTTCAGCACCTCCCACCTTGGTCTTTTAGGGCTGAAGAAAGGATGAGAAGGACTAAAGTTGGGAGGTCACAGTGCAGGACCATCCTGCAGGTAGACCATACGGAGCACATTCCCTTGCGAGCACATTCCCTTGCTGTTACGAAGCTCCTCTGATGGGAGTTCCACAGCTTCCCCCATAGCTCCACCAGAACTGAATGACTCACTTGTCAGACAATGCAGGTTTCCTCTCCCCCACCCCTTTAACTCTAAGTCCATTCTCTAAAGATTCTATGATTGACTATCAAATTTAGTTTTGATTACTAATCCCTTGTTTAACTCACTGGGGAAATGTACACCTGGACACAGAGCAAGGAATCTTTTGAATGAAAATGATTATTGGAATGAAACATTGCAGTGGAATACGCTTCTCCCTCTGAAATCCTGCTCAGGTCATTTGGAGATTGTGCGCTTGGAGACTATGTGCACAGGCCATGGTAGGGTTGACATAGCAATCTGGGTGACTCTTAGAAGAAACAGCAAATTCATTCATTGGGAATCTCAACATTTTCAACCTCAGAGTTAAATGATGGGGTATTTTCACCTGATCTCAACAGGAAAGCCTGTTTGAGGGGAGAGAGTACAAGGTCCCCTATGGGGTTTTCAGAGGTAATGCCTGCAAAGAGATCCATGTAACCCAGATAATAAGGCTGGTGTAGGCGGCAACCTGAAGGTCCCTGTGGTCTGGCAAAGGAAATCCGAGTTAGGATTCATTCTCCTCCTCCTCTGGGATGGGAGTGGGTTAGTCAGAATTACTGGAGAGTAACACTTCCTGCCCCAGGCAAGTCTATACACTGGTCAAAGTGAGAACAATTGGTTAGGTAAAAGGTTACCTGTAGAGGAGGTTACTCACTCTGGCAAATAAGCACCAGTCACAAGAAAAGCATCCTCAGGTTCCAGAGTCACAAATTAACGTATTGTGCTACTGTCCCACAGTGCTGTGTTTCTTTAGTTGGAAACGTATTTTATCTGTTGGTAGTCAGGGCCATGCAAAGGGTGTGGTGCCTAGGACAAACTGTATGGAGTTGTTCATGTGCACTTATTTCCTACCTCAAAGATGGCCCTTAGCTTGATTCTCATGACACAGTTGAATGCCCACCATCAGCTGGCTATCTACTTAATCCCTATGCTACTTCCTGTTTCAATGCTTCCACCATTATTTCCAGGACTGTAAGATGCACCATTAATTTAATAATACCTGGGGTGGGATGGGAGGATAGAAGAATCTCCATTGCTGTAAATACACACTTATTGTAAGCTCAGCCCCACCTGTCCTCACAGCTAATACTTAGTGATCTCTCAAGACTCCCGCACAGTCAGGCCTTATGTGAAGCCAGTTCTGCAAACAGGCCTAACCACTCCCTGATCGTGTCATGCCTGAACCTTGCACATATTGACACACCTGCTGCCACACCTATTAAGCTACCATGTGTGGACTGTAAGTACCTCAAGGACAGGAACCGTCTGACTCATCCCTGCTGTTCCTGGATCTAGTCCAGGGCTCGATATTAATTCACTCTATAATAGACATTGTGGACCTACTGGGTACTGGGCACACTCTTAAGCTTGCATTTGTTTGATAAACAGCAAGCTGGTTTTTTTTATTTTTAAGCAAAAATCAACTCTGCAGTAACATGGAAGATACAAGATGAGAATGTGCCAGACTCTTAGATCCTTCCACTATTAGATGGAAGCAATGCATATGTTGTGCTAAACCAGACGTGATCCAGTGCCCCAATGTGCAGTCCAGACGTTAAGAGTTCTGGGTGGTTAAGAAAGAGAAAGATTGATGAGGAGAAATCTGAGCTTCTGGGGAGATAGGCCTTGCATTTCTCTACAACACCAGCATCTTCCAACCTTTGGCAGCAAGCTTACACCCAAGGTTAACTGAAATAAAAAAAAAGCTTGCCCCAGAAATTCGGGGAAGGACTGGGATAGGGATGGCAAATAAATAATTGGGTATGTGAACAGCTCTGGAAAACGCTTGGTGGCAGGAATGGAATCAATTTTTTTGATTACAATATAGATGTAACACCAAAGTTACCATTTTAACCATGTTTAAGTGTGCCATTCAGTGGCATTAAGTACATTCATCACCAGGAAAAATTTTTTTTAAATTTTATTTTATTTGTATATGTTTGCAGTTTATGCAGTTTATCATGGTCTTGGGGAATGGTCAAATGTACATATTGCAGAATGTTTCTTCCTTTCACTTTTTTAAAAGCCCCCTTCCCACCCCTCCCCTCCCTCCTCCTCCCTGGGTTCCTCTATCCCCCTTTTTGTGTTTGTTGACATTATTTGTCTTCGCTCATGTTATGGGATGTAGTGTTTACACTGATTGGGGTTATTAGGTTCCTGCACATCTTTATTCCTCTCATTTCCCCTTCGCCTCCTCCTCACCCCTCACCCTTGTTCCCTTGTATCACTTCCCTATTGCAAGAGATCCACCCCTTTGTCCCTTTCTAGCCATCCTTTATCATTTTCTTTGTTTGTACTTTTGCCTTACTTAAATGAGAGGTACGAAGCCCATGTGTCTGGTTCATTTCACTCAACCCTGTATTTTCCAGGTACATCCATTTTCCTACCAATGTCTCAAATTTATCATTCTTTATAGCCAAGTAGTATTCCATTATATATAGATATCACATTTGCTGACAGTTTTTTCTTTTTCTTTTTGGTATGGGGGAATCAAACTCAGGTCCTTGCGCTTGCGCAGCTGGCGGCGAAACCACTGAGCTAAATCCCCGGCGATATCACATTTTCTTTATCCAAACGCCTGTTGATGGGTATACAGGCTGTATCCAGAATTTAGCTATTATGGATTGTGCTGCAAGAGGAACAGATTTTTAAGAGTCTGTTTCTGAAAGATACCTGGCTAAAAACACATTGGTCTATGGAAATAAGAAACACTTGTTGGTGGAAATAAAAATGCACCGGAATAAAAAGCAGGATTCTCCCCCACCTTGGGCAGTTTCTCTGAGAACATTTGTGATCTGTTTTGCACATACAGTATTAAGGAAAGGCGGCGGGGGGGGGGGGGGGGGTACCAGTGCCGCTCCTGTGTGTCTGAATCATCCCTGTGTAGTTTCAAAATGAAGAGCTCGACATTTTTTTCCCAATACTGAGGAGCCTTTTGTATTCAAATCAAAAGCACAAAACTCTATTGTGTGGGGGGGGCAGAGAGTCTTTATTGGCAACCGGTTGTGTCCATTTAAAGCCAGAAATATAGTTTTAAGAGCACATTCCATATGAAGTGCTATAGCTATTAATAGCTTGGTGAATTGTTTAAAACGGGTGTTTGTGGGAAGCTGTTCTCATCAGTGCCATAGGCACCCCGGAGAGGAGGGAGGTGGGCCACAGGAAGAGGGCCGGCGCAGGGTAGGAAGGACGGCCAGGGCGACTCCCCTTGGCCCTGAGGCCAGGGGCAGACACTTCAGGCCTCTGTACCATAGACGGACGTGTTCAGGGTTCAGTCCACGGCCCTGCAAGCCTTCCCCAGCTCTTTCTGTCCTGTCTGAATAATTTTTATCGAGGGTCAAACGGCTGTCTGGCGGGGGCTTAGTTGGGCAGCAGAGGCCAGGTCGCTGCCTGGGGGACTCAGGCACGGGTGGGTGACTCCAAAGTGGAGGACGCGGGTGTCCCGGGCCGGCGCCGGAGCGCTGGGATTTCCAGGCTTCTGCAGGCCGACTCGGAGGGGTCCGGGCGAAGTTCCTCGCGGGGCGGGGCGGGCCGGGGGGGAGGCAGGGTGGGCTCGGCCGTCGCCTCCCCTCCCCTCCCCGCCGGTGGCCGGCACCTCCTCCGTTACCTGCAGCGGGGAGGGGCTTGGGAAAGTTTGTGTTTGTTGCTGGCAGAGCGCCGAGCGGGAGGCGCGGGCGGGCGGGCGCCGCTCTCTTCCCTTGTGCTTTCGGGAAGCGGTCTGGGCTGTGCTCTGGGATCGGCGGGGCCGGCTCCCGGGCCGGCCGGCGGGCGGAACAGGGTGGGGAGGAGCGGGCGGGCACGAGCGGAGCCCGGGGCGCACGTACGCCCCAACGCGGGGATTTCTCGGCTCGCGAGGAGAGCAGAGCAGGCGCGCGGCCCAGCGGAGGAGCGCGGACTCTGGAGCAGCCGGAGCTGGAGGAGGAGGAGGAGGAGAGGCGGCGGGGAAGGAGGAGGGGGAGCGTCGCTCCCGCCGGCCGAGCATGGGGCGCCCGGCGCCGAGGCCGCTGCTCCTGGCGCTCCTGTCGCTGGGTAAGTGCGAGCGGGCTCGGCGGGGCGCTGGGGCACCGGGGGTTTCGGCGGGGCGCGGCCGCAGCGCGCGGCCTGGGGCGCTGAGGGTGCCGGGCGGCTCCCGAGAGACCCGGCCCTGGGGCGCGGGCGGCCCCTGAGGAGCGGCTGCGGGGCGCGCGGGGCCGAGCCTCTCCTCTCGGGGTCCGGGGGGAGTGGCCCATGGCCCGCTGCCCCCCCACCCGCCCTCCCTACCTGTTGGCCCCAGCTCACCTTGAACTCCTGGCCCGGAAGGTGCCTGCGGTTCCTGGCCGGCGTCCCCAGCTCGAGAGCCGAAATCGGAGGCTTCGATCCGGCTCGCCGTCCCCTCGACCCTCCGGATCTCTCTGCACACCCGCGAGCCCACGCCGAGATGCCTTTGCAGGGAAGCGAGAGAATCCACCAACTTCCTTCTAGGAAGGTCACGGGTGGCCCAGAGCGTTACAATGACAATCAGCGTGCGATCCCTTCCGTCATTGTAGTGGTGGCTAGATCTGCCTCAGCCTTGTCTTTTCGCTTTTCTTCAGGCTGCCAAGCCTCATATTTATACAAAGACCCAGGAGCCCAGTTCTCCAACTTTTCTACCTGTTACTTTCCCTCCCTTGCCCTGTCCCCCTGCCTTGTACCCTCTAGAAACCCTCGGCGCCTCCAGATTGTTTGGCCTAGCGCCCTACCCCCACTCGAGGATTCTTTCCTGGGTTTTTTTCCCCCTCTCCATTTTCCATTCACTCCATACATAGACACCATCTTCACATAGATACACGTGGTGATCTTAACCAGCCACGGAAATATATTAGGTGGCCACCATGGTACAGGAGGGCTGACCCCTAAATGTTTTGATATTCTTTGATGCCTGTGGACAGTGTCAACCTGGACAAGCAGAATCCTGAGACCTGGCCACAGGTTCTCTCCCAAGCCCCTAGAGAAGACAGATCTGGATCTTTCGCAGAGCATGTGGCTCATGTTGTGTGTCCCAGCCAGTCCCCAGCTGCACACAGGGTAAATTACTGTTGTGCTCTTTTGGCCTGCAGGTCCCAGGAGAGCCCTTCCACCGCCACTCCCCTCCTGCTGGCACCAGGACCACAGTGTCCCAGCCCCCAGGACTCCTACTGCCAGTGAACCAGCCTTTCTCTCTGCTACTGTGTTCCTCCACTGAGGGATTTTCTCAAACTCATTACATCAGAGAGTTCATCCAGGCACTCTGCTTCAGCTACAGTGCAGAAAGCCTCTGGATCTTCCTCTGTTTTGTAGTCTCTGTGCTTTGTGAATCTCATGCTTTTAGTCTTTCCCTTTCACTTTGGGACGGACTCTTGTGAGCTCTGTTTGTTGTACATTGCTGGTGACGGTCCACGTTGTTTAATTGGCTTACGTGTCTGAGCCAAGCAGGGCCATGGTCTGTGGCTGCACAGATTGTATGCTGGTCAACTCTGTGAATCTGCTGTTCACTTTGCAGTTTATATGAATGACTCCCCCTAGAATTTTCAGCTCACAACCCTTGCAACAGTTAACAGAGCCAGGTAAGGTAGAAGTTTGGGAAGAATGCCCTTGAGTAACTCTGATATGGGAGAAAAGGGGAGAGGGAGCAAAGAGAATCCAGCAAAAGTGAAATAGAAGTGGGAATGTTGCAGCTTGGGGAAGTCTTGGCTGTTACCAGAGTGTCCTGCCCTGGCCTGACATCTCATGTTAACTACACAAGGAATCTGTGGTGTCACCAGCCAATGCCTTACACCTTACAGTTCTGGAAACCGTTCAGTTCGTGGTCTGTCAATTCTGCCCTCAGAATCTCACCTGATGTGGCTTCCGCCTGACCTCTTGGAAGTCCTCCCTCCCCATCTGCACCACTCTAGCACTGTACTGATTCCTGAAACTTAATACATTGGTAAGCAAGATCACATTTCCTCTGGTATTACAGCCAGCATAGAATCTTGGTATCCCTGCTCTCTGTGACCTCCATGCTCACACTGTCCCTCTGTTCTGTGGGTTTCAAATAGCACAGGTTGGAGCTTCTTCCAGTATGCTCAGTTTCTCCGGCCGCTACTTAGGCCAGGTCCTGAAGTTCCTTACGCAGATAACTTCTAGCATCTTCCCTGTTGACCTTTTCCTCCAGCCTCCCTTCTAAATTCATTTTTTTCCTAAAGAATCATTTTTGGGGCTTCCATCAGTTCCTTACGATTTTCCTCCAAGGAGATGCTACCTTTTGTATTCTCTCTTCTCCAGTCTTCATTCTAACTTAGACATTTCATTCTGAGGAACTTGTTGGTTCTTTACATAGTATGTTGAACCTTCTGGCCCCTCCTACCTCTCTCCTCTTGCCTCTGCATCTCCTTTTCCCCCCAGAACCCACTTCCCCTGTGAAGCTTTCCTAACTACCCCTACCTACCAGGACCACACCAGAACCCTCAGCTTTCTAAGACAAATTTTCGCTGTTCTTGCCTGTGTCGGACCTGCCGTGTCCATCTGTTCATTACGATATTTCTTTTTTTTTATTATGATATTTCTTGAGTATGCACTCTGTCCATAACAGTGGCCAGTAGCATGGATCCCAGACAAGTGACCGAGTCATAGTGTCTGAGTGCAATTGGTTGGTGGGGTTGAATGGACAGGTGATAAAACAGAATGAAATACCTGAATAGAAACCGACAGCTGGTAGGAAGCAAGGAAGAGGATGATTAATTTTGACTTAGGGGTTGGAGTTGCATTTGCTGAAGAGGTGACATTTGAGCTGAGCCTTGAGGATAATTAGAATTTTCAAAGAAAGTATAGAAGACCATCTGGGCTCTGGGGAAAAGCATAAAGTGTAGATGAATGAGAGAGTGTGGCTCACTCAGAAACGGCACACGAGTCCCATGTAATGAGGTGAGAGGAGGTAGAACCTGGAGCTTTGTGTGCGCACTGTGCTGAGCAGTTGGAAGGGTGAAGGCTGGATCTGTTGGCCTCTGTGCTGCCAGGTCACCTGTGCTTTCTCATCATAGCACCCATTTGTCTTGCTGGATGTAATTGTTCCCTTGTCTAAATCTCCACCCTATTTATATGCCCTGGGGGCTACATTGATCTTGCTCACTATTCTAGGCTGTTACTGATAAGGTATGTAATAGTGGATGTTTGACAAATATTGACTAACTGGATCCATCCAGATGGATATATCTTCTTATCTGGGAAATGTGCAGCCATTGAAAGTTTGCAGGGTGTGATTAACCCAACAGGGTGATGTGTTTGAGGATGATAAATCCTCAACTAGTATGCAGCATGAATTGGAGAGTGGAAGGCCTGGAGACTATGGAGAGGGATTAACATATTCTCTTTATGCCTGTTTTTTAATTTTTGCAAATCCATTAAAATGGTTTTAAGTGACAGAGGAATTCCATCTATATTTTAATATTCAAATACTGTAAAATAGCATTAATTAGGTAGGCTAAATGGCTGTGGCAAGTAGCCCGAGAGCATAGTGGTTCAAACAATACAAGCATGCTTTACAGCAGCCCAGGGGATGCGCCATAGGGAAAGCTTAGGTGGGACCCTGTTCTGGTTCGTTCATTCTGGTGGCAGTCATTCTGGTTCCCAGGCTGGGGCAGTTCTGCTATCTTCAGCTCACGATTTATTTCTAAGATCACTTTGGTTGTCATCGTCACCACTTCAGCACCACAAAAGAAGAGGCAGCATAGCATAGACTGAATGGATACCTCTTGGGCCAAACTTGGACGCGGCACCACCAGATCTGTGCATATGTCATTGGTGAGTTTCATGTCATACTAGCTGCAAGAGAAGCTGGGAGATGCAGAGAAGCCTGCATCTATGTGCCAGCCACTGTGGAGGAAGGAAAGAAGGGATCTGGAGTGACAGCCTGCAGTTTGTATCCATTATAGATGTAAGAGGATGTAAGATAAAAAGAAAGATGTGTCCACTCTCCTGCTCAGGCAGCGCTCCTCCTATATAATGTGTGTGTGCAATGAATTTTTTTTTGGCAGTGCTGGATATTGAACCCAAGTCCTTGAGCATGCCAGGCAAGCTGTTAAACTGAGTCACATCCTTAGTCCTGCTCTTTTCTCATAGCTTCTGTACAGGGCTCTGCACCTACAGGCACAGAGTAATAACAGCTACAATTTATAGAGTGCATATCAAGCATCAGGCTCTTATGTTCTGTCGTTTATTCCTCACAGCAACATTTTGAGAAAGGAACCATTATTTTCTCCTGATATGAGATGAGCAAAGTGATGCCCAGAAAGGTTAAATAACTTGCCCAATCATACAGATACTCTGTGGCTTAGCCAGGACTTGATCCCAGGACTCCATTTTGCCTCTGCCAAGGAGAAGCTGATGAATGTTCACTATAACCTTGGGCTGTGTATTGCTTGAAATTAATTTAGGCAAAAAAGGATGATAGTGGTTTGAAAGCAAAAGTGCAGTTAAAAATAGGAGGATCTGGAGTGAGGTTGGCCCCACCACAATTCCTGAAGGCACTGGCTGTGCCAGCACGCACCTCTTAGATGTGACAACCACAATTTCTAGCTGGTTCCCACAACTGCCCCGAGGAAAGGGACTGAAGGACAGCCTGCTCCAGAGAGCACCAAAGAAGGAGGAAGGTTCAGCAGGAGGAACCCCAGTGAATCCGTCCAGCTCTAACAGCCTTTGAAGTGCTGTGGCCTTCAGAGATTCCTTGGCACTCATTTTAGCCTTGTTAACAGAATTCCTGTATATGCCAAGCTGATTAATGTCTGCCCTGGCTATAATTATTCTTATTAGCCTGCTGAATAGGAAGCCTAGTTGTCAGTGATCATTCCTTACAAGGCAGTCGGACTAGTCGGCATTTATATGGCTATTTTGTTTTAGTGATGAGCTGCTGAGCTGATTTTTCCCCCATAGATTGAATATACATTTTCATATTGGTGCTGCGTCTGGCAGTTAAATAAGGTGTGGGCTGTCTGTCAGTGTGTGTCTGCATCTCACTTTATCAAGTGAAGTTGGGGGAAAGCTGTCGGGGCAGTTCA